GTGTGCTGCGAGCGGCTCCGCTCCGGGCTCTGCCCCGCGGGCACTGCAGCGCCGCGCGGAGCGGGACCCTCTGCGGGGACACCACATTCTACTGCTTCTCACCCCCCTCTGCAGCAGAGTCCTTGCTGCCTTATGGAATCATTCGGGTCGGAAAAGACCTCGGAGGTTAACCCATCATGTAGCAGCCCAGAAAGCCTGAGTTGCATCCAAAGGAGTGTGGGCAGCAGGTCAATAGAGGTGATTCTCCCCCTCTGCTGTGCTCTCCTGAGACCCCACCTGGAATACTGCACACAGTTCTGGTGCCCTCAGCATAAGAAGGGCATGGAAGTATTGGAGCAAGTCCAGAGGAGACCACAAAGTTGGTAAGAGGACTGGAGCATCTCCACTACGCAGACAGGCTGAGGAAGTTGGGGCTGTTCAGCCTGGAGAAAAGAAGGTTGTGTGGAAACCTCTTAGCAACTTTTCTATATCTGAAGGGGCTACAAGGGAGCTGGAGAGGGACTCTTTCTTAGGAACTGCAATGATAGGACAAGGGGCAGTGGGTTCAAATTGGAGGAGGGGAAGTCTAGGTTAGATATTAGAAAAAAGTTTTTTCCGGTGAGGGTGGTGAGACACTGGCACAGGTTGCCCAGGGATGTGGTGGCTGCCCCAACCCTGGCAGTGTTCAAAGCCAGGCTGGATAAAGGAGGCCTTGAGCAACCTGGTCTGGTGGGAAGGTGTCCTTGCCCATGGCAGGGTGTTGGTACTAGATGATCTCTAATGTCCATTCCAACCCCTAAAATTCTATGATTATGTAACCATATAAACCACGTCCTCAAGTGCCATATCCACACACCTTATGAACACCTCCAAAGATAGTAATTCCACCACCACCCTGGGCAGCCTGTGCCAGTGCCCAAACACCCATGCAGCAAAGGCATTTTATCTAGTATCCAATCTAAATCTTCCTTGGTGCAACTTGAAACAGTTTTCTCTTGTCCTGTCACTTGCTACCCAGGATAAAAGACCCGCCTGGCTACATCCTCTTTTCAGGGAGTTGTAGAGAGTGAAAAGGTCCTCCCTGAACATCCTTTTCTCCAGGATAAACACTCCCAGTTCCCTCAGCTGCTTCTCATCAGACTTGTGCTCCAGACCCTTCACAGCTCCACTGCACTCCTTTGGCCCATGGGAGGGCAGCCCAGTCCCCACTGTCATCACCAGTCAAGAGAGGGAGAGGATTGTCCCACTCTGCTCCCTGTTGGTGCAGCTTCACCTTGTCTCCCAGGGGCTGTCACCACTGAATGTTCCCAGTGGGACAAGGCAACTCCAAGGCAGAAAGAATGTGTTTTATTCCTTCCATATCCTGTTTATCAATGCTTATCACTCTAGTGGGATGTCATTTAGAAGAACCAGAGGATGTGGCTTGACAGAGGCTAGTTCCCATGTTTTTCAGCAGACTTTGCCATGCAGGGAGGGAAAACGTCACCTCAGCGGTGGTGGCTTTAGAGCAGGAGAGAACATGGACAAACCCTTAGCTGGTACTGAAATAGCTGGCAGAAGCAGTGATAGTGTGGGAAGGGAGGTGTAAAGTTGCCTACTACACCAGGGTCTTCTTTCAGGCCACGGTTGGTCACACCATGGCATCATGCTTTTCTTACCACTCAGCTCCTGCTGTCTCATGGACAGAGATGGTTCAGACTCAGTAAGACAAACCTTATCTGGCTGCCATGGAGCAACCTGTAAATGGAGCCCCCTCCATGTGCCCTTGCCTTCTCTCCCACCACCTTGGACACCGTCACCACTGAAAAGATGTTCAATCCAGTAGTCACATGGAACAAGGAAATGCCCCTGGCACTGAGGGTGGGAAAGGAGCAGGTCAGAGGGACCCAGCTCATATGCCAGGGTGGACATCCATGGCAATGCAGAGGGAGCAACCACCCTGCCCAGGGAGCTCCAGAAACTGAGCCCATTGTGCTATAAGCCTCTCAGGGCTCTTTGTGAGAGCCCCAACTTTAATATCACTCTGTGTGGGAGAATATCATCCTCTACCTTTGTTAATGTGATCACCATTACAGTCTTGGATTTGATGCCTGAGATCTCCTCTGAGTTAAAAGACAAAAAAAGGGAAGCATGAACTGGTACAGGAAAATGAGCCACTTCAGATAAACTACTACACTGTAGTAGGAAGGAACAGAAACCTGTTGCCTGACTAGGCACTTCAGCCTTGTCTTATAATCTCTTTGGCTTCTTTATAATTTTTCTTGCTTTTCTCAAGTTTGCTTTCACTGTCTCAGCAACACAGGCATTAACAATTTGCCTGGAGCTCCACACAGAGTCACCAGGGTCTGTAAAGAAAGTACTCAGCACAAGATCTCTCTTACTGTACTGCGCTGTAAATTCATGTCCCACTAAGGGTTTTATTTTGTCATACTCAGGTCTTTTAGCATTACTGGTTCTGAGCTTATTTGGAGTTTGGTAATATCATTTGAGTTGCTGGAGTCTGTCAGCATTGGGATGCTTTTGGCTCTTGGCAGAAACCAAACCCAGGATCAGCATAAAAGGTGCTACCTAACAGCAAAGATACCAAAAGGTAAGTGAAACCCATTCCTGCCGCCTCCCAAGCATGCTAACCAAGGGCCTGTGCTCTTCAAGAGTCCAGCCCTTATTTCTAAGCGCACAAGCCCTTTAAAGACCCTAAAAAAGTGGTGTGCATTGAGGTGCAGACTTCAAGAGCAAAGGCTCCATGGAAACACAATTGCACAGAGCCTGGAATATTTCTCAGGAAGAGGAAATAAAATTCAAATCGAAGCTGATTTAAATCAGCTTATCTTTTTATTGCTTCACACACAATCTTTCTGTTTGTATACAAGTTCTTATGCTCCTCTAGGAAGGGATCAGTTCTATAAACCTTTCTGAAGAAAATCAAGAAGCAAATGATTGGGGAAGCTGAAGTCAAGTTGTACAATTGCATATCCCTAAAAGGAGGGGAGAAAACAGAGAAGTGTTATGTTAGTTTATGCCACACTCCCGAGAGGGCTTTGAGAGCCAGGTGTTTCTGGGCTCTGCTTACCTTTCTTGTGATGATCTCAGGATTTATGATATCAAAGAGGTGAAGTCCTTTCTTGTTCATCTGATAAGTCAGAGCTGATTCGATCCCTATGCAATCAGTAAACCCATCCAGTTACAGGTATGGCTGTCCCAGCTTCCTGCTCATCATGTGTTGCCACCCTGTCTGCCTGTTGCCAAAAGCTAATTGTGCCTCATATCACCCCATGACCTTTGGCCCAATGGAAAACTTCCTTTTCCCTTCCTCCCAGCCACTTACAAAGGCTTCCCCATTCTACAAGTTAATCCAGCAATGTGGTTCCCCTCAGGTTTTTAGGGTTATTGTTGTGGTTTTCTTCAGTGCTGAGATTTAGGGCATCTGTTGTTAGACACTTTACAGAGTTGGTTGGCACTTTCCCAAAGGCAAAACTCACTTGAAGTCACTTCTGGGATCCCAACATCCAAGATCATAGTCTGCAGGAAGTTTTGTATGGATGGATCATCCTGAAAGCAAGAAAAATCATACAAAATTGTTTTAAAAATATCATTTAGTCTCAAATGGCTTAGAGAATGTTTTCTTAGGACTTACCCCATTTGGATCAGCTGTGCATTTAAAGACTTTAAATTCTATCCTGAAGAGAGGGGGGAAAAAAAGAGAGGAGGGAGGGGAAGAAGAAAGGGGAAAAAGTCACTAAGGGCTGCAGAAATCCTATCTTTTTTTCTGCTCTCAGACAAAGGCCAAAAGATGCAACAAAACCCTCAAGACACCACAGTACTGACCTGGAGTCCAAAGGGTGCAGAATGAGTTTCTTTTCCGCATAGGCAGCTTGGATAGTGACCGTGATTTCCTGCAGAGAGAAGAACAGCAGGGTTGAGGCACAGCCCATCTTGCCTTGAAGGGAATTGCATTTGGGCATTTCAGTTTGCTTTCTAGGAGCCAGAGCCTGTCCCAAGGTCTTCACAGTCAGGAGGTGCAAGAACTGACCTTCTCCATGTACAGAACCACCAGAGCCTCTTGTCCTGCAGGAAGGATGCTGACCTCCACTGCTACCAAGGATGTCACAACTGTCCCTTCAGGCTGAAGAGAAATCTGGGGAGGGGCGAGACTCCACACCTTGGCCACAGAGTCATTATAGGAGGTACCCTGAAAAATCTGGTCAAGTAAGGGGCAACAGTAGAGTCAGGCTTTTTTCATACTAATTTCATGCCAGCTTGCTACAGGGCTTCTTCCCTTTTGTAGTCCCCAGTTTCTCCTCCTGTTTGGACACACCCAATAACTCAGCCAGGTTTTAAGGAAGCTGTGCCAGCACAGAGGGTGGAGAAATCCTCCTTGCAAGGCACAGTTTCTCCATCAGTCCTTGGTTTTCCCCACCAAGCCCGCTCAAGACTCAGGTTGTCAAGGGAAGGACACAAGATGTTACAGTGCAACAGAATCCATTTGAAAATTTCTCATTTGACATAAAATGCTTTGAATAGGACCAAAAGTTACCATCTGCACTGCCTTCCGCCGCGCTTCCGTGTCTTCCGTTTCGAACAGCGCCTTCAGAAACAAACCAGAAACAGATTGTGGAAAAATAAAAAGATGAGGTTGTGGTCAGCCCTGATGCAGGCTGGACAGGGCAGAGCACTGGCCTGTGTCCAGTGCCCAGTCTGGAGGCATGACTGAACTCCCCCTTTTTCTACCTCAGTGTTCCCACAGCAAATCATGTCACTTTACAATTCAGCAGACAAGTTTTCTATCAGCTGGTGTTACCACTCCAAGGGATAACACTGCCTGGGAGGACACTCTTGCTGAGTGGCAAAGGCACTGGGAGGGCACCAGTTGCTGACCAGAGTCACATGTAGTGACTGACTATAGATCTTCTACAGAAACTAGCTCTCACCAAAAAAACATTATTTAGAGAATTTTTTACTCTCCCCCCAAAATATGATGCACGTGGTAAGGAGGGAACCACCCCTGAAATCACCTGCAACTTCTCCCCTGTGATGTTCAATACCAGGCGTTGGTCTAAGAAAGCTGCCAAAGCCAGATTGCTGAAGGTGTGCTCAGACAGCCAGAAGTAGAGCATTCGGGACTCAGTCAGCAGTGACGGGGAGAAAACAGAGTCACTGAAGACACTGGAGTAGTTCTTGTACAGGACACGGCCCTTTAAAGGAAAGCAGGTGTGTTGACCACAGCAAGCAGCAGGGAGACAGGACAAAATGTCAACACCTGGTTTTCATTGCAAGGCACTGGACACAGAGCAGGGACCAGCCTCTGCCAGCCCTCCAGCACACAGCATTGTCAGAAAGCATTCAGCCTCAGAGCAGCCTGGGTTACTATACCTTGTGATGGGATTCTAGGTAATTTGCTGTTATTAAAGTATCAGATGCAAGGGAGATATCGATGATGATATCCTTACTCCGGACAAAGTTTGCTGCAGGAAGAAAACACAAAAAGCTCACACCAGAAATATGGCTTTAAGCAGAGCTTGGGACAGTCACTTTTAGGGCTTGGTGCAGAATTAGACTGGGAGTTATAAAAAGGTATGGGGATGGGACAGGGAGGTCCCACTCCTTTGGGTGCTAGTGTTGATCCTGGTAAAGCTCATTGACTCAGTTTCTCCTCTGGGAAATAGGCATAATTACTCTCAGTTTTACAGTCTGCTCTTTTTCCTTGATATTTGGGACTGGGAAAATCTCCAGATGCTGTAACATCTCAGGTCCAATACTCCAGTGCATGCTCCTGTTCTCACTATCATCCGTCCTGCAGCTATCCTGCACCCCTGGTCACTACATACCTAAGGAGAAATTCCTTATGAAATGTGTCTTTCAACCTATGTGATCACCCTTTAAAATCAGCCTGATGCAGAAAATTCAAAACATAACATTGGTAAGGATTTCTGTTGTCTGAGGGCTTGGGATCCCATACACATTTTGGAAGGAATTTTTCTGATGAATGTGGCTACTGCCCTGCTGGGGCTCAAATGTTAGAAGCTGCACATAAAAGAAAGCAGAAAACCCAAGGATATTTACCTGCTAAATCAAGTACAAAATTTGCCAGCGTCTGAGCAACCAAGTTGATTTCCTTGCACACCTACAAAAGGAAAAGAGGGGAAAAAACTGAAGCTAGGGGGGTAGGATTTTGGATTGCAGAGCAGAGCTGGTCCTCATGGTGAAATCTGGGGGCTGTTGGTCAGTCTGGCAGTGTCAGTGTCAGCAACACCTCTCACTTTGCCCAAGCTGCTTTTTGGTTTTGTGGATTCAATTTATTTGTCTTATTTTTCACAAGCATTAATACTAAATTGCTACTATCTCGTGGGCACACACGAGCAACATACTGTGTAGCATCAAAAGCTATGCAGAGCTTTCCTGTGTCCACAGGCTGATCTTACCTCCCTCTTGAGAACAAGCTTCAAAGTGAAGGAAATGAAATCCGTGAAGAGCTGCTTCAGCCAGCCTGGACTGCATAAGACAGGGAGCATGGTCAAGGATCACAAGTGGTCCCCATAGTGCGTGAGATTTGGGGACAATAAAGCTCAATTTTAAAAGGGGACAGACTCACTTCTTGTCTCCTTGGAGGTGAAGTGTGAGTTTGTGGAAAGTCAAGTAGCAGTCTGAGGCATCGGCAGCCATTTGGTCCTTCTGGCACACTGCAGGGGATGAAAGAAAAAAAAAGGCAAAAAAAGGCCAATTTGCTACTAAGATGAGGAGGGTAAGTCTACTTTGAAGACACACACTGAAGGCCTGGAGTAGGGCATCACTGCAGAAAGGCAGCCAGAGTTCCCCACATCTCCCAGGGGTGTTTCCAAAAGGTTCAAGACACTGCCAAGTCAGGGCAGATGAGGCTACCTTGCACCGGGATGGAGAGTTTCTGCTCACAGCTCCAGCTGGGCTAGTCTACTGTGCCTCCTTCTTCACAATGCATTTGGATACCTGCCAGCTTCTCTAGCTCCTACCATCAGGGGTTCAGCTGTTCTCTAACATGACCCAGGAGAATCTGGGCAGTATGTCATACCCACAAACCAGATGGGGGAGGGAATGAAGTTGTATTGCGAAAGGTTTAGGAATTGCCATATAGTGTCACTGAGATTCATGTTGCTCTCCCGCTGGGAGCTTACCAGGGAAATGTGTTCTGAGCCAGGAAAATGTGTTTTGTGGCACATGTGATAACCCACATCCCCCTCATCCCTTATGGGAGGTGGAGGAGTGTATTTCGCCTCTGTCCCTTTCTAGTCTAAGTCTATTGACCTTCCTAAGGCTTTGTTTACCAGAGCACACCTTGGGCCTTGACCTGGAGACAGATGGAAAAGTGGACTATAAAGATGTTCAAACCTCCTGCACCAAAACCCTTATTTGGCTCACTCTTTTGAAATATCCCCATGTTTTATTTCAAGTCATCCTGAACCGCAGGACATGAAAAGTCAGTCCTGAAGGGAGTTCAGAAGGTCAGACCATTCTCCACTTGCTGCTGGTGTAAGTCAGCATTACTTTGCTTAAGTGATATTTACCAGCTTCCTCTGCTTGATCCATTGAAACTAAGAGGTCTTTAAGGCCCACATTGTCTCCTATCCTGTGTGCACAGGGCTCAGAGACCCACTCCTAGCCTCCATATGCCATCTGAACCCCACAGAGGTGGGCAGAGCTTTCCTGGGCTCACTTCCCACACCCACATGCAGACCCCTGCAGGCAGTGATGCCCAGTTATTACTTACTCAGTTTAATGTTTAGCAGGAGGTCAATGGAAGACTCGATTTCAAAATCAACTGAATGAAAAAGATTCACACTGCAACGACAGAAAAGAGGACATTTAGCAACCCATCACAGGAGTAGCTTCTCCCTGAGCGCAGGACAGCTGAAGCGGGTTTTATAGCACCTCTCACATCAGTCCTTGCACTGCAGTGGTGAAACCCCCAGCACACCACAGCCCATCTCAGATACTCTGCCTTTAAATTATTGCAAGCTGCTGCCTTAGCAGCACATAGGAGCATTAAGCCCTTTTTTCTCCACTCAGAGTTTACAGCACAACAAAGGGAAGGGAAGAAGACAGCTTGTATGCTTTGTTATGTTACCTCTTCATGCAAGGTGAGGACAGAAAGGCAGAAAGCAAGACAAGCAGAGCAGTGAAGAGGCTAAGCTGCACTGCTAGCATCTAAAATCCTGTCTTGCTTAGGCAGTAAGCACCACTGCCATTGCTAGAGAGCCCAAGGTGCACAGCCCCTCAGCATCTGCTCTTGCTGTGGGCAGCAGCAGGAGTTGGGGCCGTGGTGCTCAGCAGCAGCAGCCTCCAGGAACTTACAACCAGGCTCCAGCATAGCCATAGGTCAGAGTCCCTTTGAAGGAGGCTGTCACGTTATTAATGGCAAGGTGAATGGAATTGTCCTCCTTCAGCTCCACCTCACTCTTCTCTATGGACAAGTCATTGACCTGGATGCTAGAAATAATAGAAACCCAGTTTGTCCCCAAACACAACAACATCCAGTCTGGTTTGTCACAAAGCACAGTCACAAGGGTGGCTCTGATAGCCCTGGACACATCCCCTTTGCCACCTGATGTATTTGGGCACCATCTGTAGTCGACAGCCCCTGGTGCCCCCAGCCCACATGAACAGTGCTCCCCATTCCTCCTGTCCGAGATGTGCCCTGCCTCACTGGCTGTCTGCAGGGTTGGGCAAGCTCTTAAATAACACATCAGCAGCCTAAAACTTAATGTGCAAGTTGTCTGCACGACCTAGATCAGAAAATGTGTCTACGCCAGTCCAGACCTTTGGTTTCAACAGGAATTCCAAAACCAGGTTGGATGAAGCGTTGAGCAACCTGGTCCAGTAGGGAGGTGTCCTTGCCCAGGGCAGAGGGTTGAGACTGGATGATCTATAAGGTTCATTCCAACCCCTAAAATTCTGACATTCTATGATTCTAGTTGCTGGATCAAAGGTCCCTCCAAGGCCAGTTTGTGTTCCCCTCCCTAAGCCCACACCTCCCCTGGCACAGAGACAGAGATACTCACTTGGTCAGCGAATAAGCCACCTTGCCAAGGAGCCTCATGGACCTCTCCCCAGTGATATTTGGGAATTTGGCATTTCTGAAGGCTGCTTGAATGACCTGTGCTGTTTCCTGGTTCACTGTTGGTGGAAGAAAAGGGCAAAGACACCAAACTGCAATCTCTCCTGGCTGCAAAGGCAGATCTGCACTCAAGATTAAAGCACTGCAGAAGGGTTTTATCCAAGGCATTTTCACTAGATTAAGGAAGCACTAGAAGTGGTTTCAGAGTAAATTTAAAAAAATTAGAAATCCCTAACTTCAACAGCTGATGGCAGCAAGGGACAGCATTGTGCGTTGCTCAACAGTCACCAGCAGAGCTGCTGCTAGGGAATTGTGCCCAGCTTTCACATATCTCAACGGCAGATTTTGAAAGGTTGAGGCTATGCTCATCCTTACACCACACAAGCTGCTGACTTTACCCCAGTGCTTTGCTTTGTTGCTACTTGCTTGTATTGCAGTCAGCTCTTGGGTCTCCAAAGGAAAACTTCTGAGACTTGAGTTTCTCTACCCATTTTCTTAACATTATCCAGCCCATTCCAGCCTCAGGCACATGCTTGTAGAGGATTTTTTTCCTTCCAGAAATAACTTCTCTCAGTTTGCCCCAGCATCCTTCTCTGCATGATTCACCGTTGGTGGGGACAGGACAGAGCTGTTCCCACCCTTCACAGAAGAACTAATTATTCTTCCCCCTCCAGTAAAGCCCCCAAAACCTTGCAAATAAACCCAGAGCAGCAGAGAACCTGTTCCTCTGCTTCTGCACACCGACCCCAAGAGATGAGATTGCCATGAGGTGAGAAATCAAACACACATTCACTCTAGCATTTCCATCACACCAACCCTCAGAGAGGAGCAGTGCTATAGCCTTGGGCTGAGAGGGGCTGGAGACAATTTTCCAGCTCCTTTGAGAAGCTGTGCCTATTCAGTTCAGGTACCATGCCTTAACCTGGACTCCCAGGCAGGTATCTTTTTAGATAAACAGTTTACACAAGGGCCAGGAAAGCAAGAAATCCCCTCTCTTGGCTGATCTATGGCTAACAGCAGGCACTTACACAGCAATGCTGCCGGCTTGGTCATCCTGCAGACGATCCCTGTGGTTCTGTAAGGGAAGGACCCAAACTCACAGGCTGCTGATGCATGGACAAGCACTAGCAAGATCCCAAAGGTCCCCAGCATCATCCTGCCAGCCCAGCACATCTTCACCCAGAGCGGAGAGCGCCCACAAGACCGACTGATCCTTGACAGTGGCAGAGGCTGCTTTCATACCTCCAGCCGAGCCCACTCGAAGCAGGACATGACCTGCTTCCTCTGGTTATCAAAACTCATCACACATTTCCTAATCTTCCTATAGTTTCCTTAACACTCCTCAAGTCCCACGCTGCCTTCCTCCCTCAGCAGGCACTTGGGCTGCAGGGCTTGGCACTCCTGCCAAGACTGCTTTAACTCAGGACATGCATCCATGAGGCGAGTGGAGAAAGCTGGAGGGGGATGGAGAGTAGAAGAGAATAAAGTCAAGGGAGCAGCCTCACAAGCTGCCTCCAGTCAGTTCATCATTTGCTCTT